AAAATGGCCGGATTACTTCATAGTTCAACTAACAGTGAAGCACCTGTCTTTCCACAACCCCTAATTTCCTTTTTCCCATCTTTGCCAATTTGCAGAGGTTGAAGTGAAACTTCAAAATTGTTTTAATTTACATTCATTAATTATTTGGAGCATGCTAATCATATAATTGTTACTTTCATTTTTTTTTGAAAAACTGATCTCTTTTTAATCTTTGTAAAAAGATGGTTTGGTGGGTAGGAGAAACAGAGGGAAATATTCAGAAATGAGAGTAATCTTAAAAAAAAAGCTACATCAATTTTAAGTTCATATCCGTTGGGCATTTTATCTAACAGGGAATGGCTCTTCATCATATATCTGGATCAATTCTCTATGTATCTTGAATATCAGCCTTTCTTCTCAATTCCACACTAATTTTGAAGGCATTAACTCCAACATTTAGGATAGCAAAAAGGCTTTCAAAACCTTAAGATTTAGTGATATGAGAACCCAGATTTCACCCAGTCTTTACTGGATTTACATTACAGATGTAGAAAGTGAGGCCAGCGGAAAAAAGTCACACATGTTATAAAAAACAAAGCTGGGACTAGAACCCAGATTATCCGACACCAAATTCATCACTCTTTTCTATTATATCATACTGTCTTTGATTGCCAAGACCTGTTACTTCAGTTTTCTCATTACATACATACCTATTTGTATATATAATTTCATAAGATGGCTCTAATTTCTGTTCCCTCTACCCCAATGACTGCCAAAGATGTCAGTCAAAACCTCCCCTAATGCTCATTCTGTTCATAATTCTAAAACACTACCTTTTCTCTACGATATTAGTCGATCATGACATAGCGCCATATATATGCATCTCATGTAAAATTAATTACAGTGCCTTGCACCTGACAAGTACTTAACTGAAGCCTGTGAAATAGGGGTTAGAAGAGAAAAGAAGAGTGTTGGAATTTTCTTCAAAGCATTGTAACTCTGAGGAAGGTGTTTCTTTACCTTCTGATTTGCTACAATAAAATAAGACCAGAATCACAAAGAAGCATAAGAACTCAGAATAATATATTTGTATAGTATAAGGCAAGCTTTCCACAGACATATCTCCTACATGCTTAATACATATGGTAGAAAACTCAGCTGAATAAATTAAAAGAAATAAATATAAGATGTTTTATACATCAATGAGGGGGATACAAAAATGAATAAAAGTTAATGCCTACAAAGAGCTTATGATCTAGTAGGAAGTTCACACATCCCTCCTCATTCCCTCATTTCCCTCTCCCAAAATACAGAGAACTTAGGGTGCATAAGTAACAAGACAAGGTGCTATAATGAAAAGTTTCCCAAAGGAGTGGTTGCTGTCAATAGACTGCAATTGGAAAGTTGGAGGGGAGAGAATGAGTGTTGTGGCAAGAACAATGAATTTGGAATCAGAAGACCTGGAAGCATACCACCATTATTATTTACAATAACTAAATGACTTTGGACAAGTTAGTCAAACTCTTCAAGCCTCAATTCCTCATCTTCAACTAGTTAAGAAGTACTTATTAAACAACTGTGTGCCAGGCATTATGCTATGACCTGGGGATACAAATACAAAAAAGAAACAGTTCCTGACCTCAAGGAGCTTAAATTCTATCAGAAGAGACAGCATGTACACTTAAGTAAACATAAACTACATGTACAGTTTACAAACAGAAATTTTGGGCGGAGGGATACTAGCCCCTCTGATACCAGCAGTATCACAAAAGGTTTCATGTAGGAAATGGCACTTAAGCTGAGCTTCAAAGGGAGATAAAGAAGTGCAAAAGGAAGTATATTCCAAGCATGAGGGACAACCTATGCAAAGACATGATGATAGGAGATGGAATGCTATGCATGAGGAATATTAGCAAACAGCTCTATTTGTGGGAGTAATGTGTTGTAAGACTGGAAAGGTAGGCTGAAGCCAAATTTTCAAGGGCTTTAAAAAACAAAGAGGAATTTGCCTGCGATCCTAGAAGCAAGGGACCACTAGAGCTTTTTGTGAAGATGAATGACAACTGCAGTTTCACAAATATCATTTTGGCAACTTTGTGGAAAATGGACAGAAGAGAGGCAGTAAGATCAATTAAGAGACTACTACAATAGTCCAGGCAAGAGGTACCAAAGACTTGAAGTAGGGTAGAGATAGTATGATTAGAAAGAAGGAGACAGATACAAGAAATTTTGCAGGGGAAGAATCACTAAAACTTGGGAACTGACTGAACTGGTTTAAAGAAAATGACTCATAAAATAAGGGGATTGGACCAGATCAGCTCTAAGGTTCCTATCTGCTATAGATACTAAGATCCTAAACATAATGATTTAATTCCTAGAACACAATTCAAATATTTAATGTACATTAGTATATAAAATAAAAATTTATGTGATTAGTAATTTCTTGTTTTATACAAATATGCATATTTATACTTTAGAAAGTATGCACTATAAGAATACAGCTATATCATTTATGATTAAATAACTAAATACAGTGTTGGAAATTATTTCTGGAAAAACTGGACAAAAGGCTATTGGTCAGGAAGCCAAATCCTATCAACATTAATCATTTTGGAAAATTAATTTTAATCATAATACAATTTCAAGGAACATAATTTTCCTTAACTGTAATGTAATTAATTGCACCATTCAAAGAAATACAAATTATACATTTTTACTCAAAGGAAACGAGTAAGCATTCTTCAAATGAGAATTTCCTTAAAACACACTAAACTTTTTTGTAAAATGATGGCAATACAACTGTTTTAATTTTCATGAAATAGCAAACCATATGTTGAAATGGCATAAATCCAGCACTTAGGTGCTCAACAAATATGTCTGACTTGAAACCTACAAAGTTGATAACTGGCACAATTTAAACTCCAAATCACAGGTCCTTTGTCAGACTAGATAAAAACTTCTAAGTAAACAAACTATGATCTTTTTTTCAAAGGGCTTTTTCTCATGAATGTTTTGGAATAGTCTAAAAAAAGGAGACAAATGTATTAATATTCAGGATATCAATTTTTAAAATGATCACTTTTTCCTTCACATGAAAAAGAGGTCAAGGGAGAAAAAGGAAGATTTTTGCAATAAGTTTCAAATATGATGCTATACACCAGAGCTCAAAATTAGTTTCCTATGCAAACAGAAAAAGTATGAAAAATAGCATTTGATGGAGACATTTTATGAAATCTTAAAGATAAAAAACTATTGTACATTTTAAGCAGGAAGGAAGAAATCTAAGATATCTAAATTTTTTTGCTTTCTCAAAATATCAAAATTAAACAAAATAGTAAAAACCAGAAGCTGATTCCTATTATGTGACAAATGAAATTCTGTTATGTCCTAAACTTTACTTTGGCCTTCCAAGAATATTCTAAATGCAGAAAAGAAAAAAAAAATCAATGCTTAATGTTACAAGGAAAGATAAGACAAATCAGAAAGTGGTAAATCTGATCATAACCATAACAATGAACTACGGTGCTTCCAACTAAGTTCATCCTACACTAAAGCCACTATCTGACTCTACACCTAGACATGCAGCTCTTTTACTGAAGTAGACACTCTTTGATAACAGATAAGACTCTCCTGTCACTTGCATGCTCACAGTACCACATTAAGATTCACAGATAAAAATAATTTAAAATAACTTACGGCATCTTAAAGCATTTAGTACCTCAGGTGCGCTACCTCTCTGTGACTCTAAAAAGAGGTTAGATGGTTTACCAAAGTTAAACAAAGCAAGAAATAATTAGTGACTTCAGACCAGTCCAGAGCTGAGACCAGGTGACCATTGTTTGCTACTCTTTTTCTTCTGTTTGCTGTGTCATCAATTTTCCCCACTCAGGCTTACATACAATGCTTACTAAGTTTTGGACAAATTATATTTAGATTTCTATGCTCATGTTTCTGTTCATAAGTAATTTTAAATTTTACAACCAAAAACTATTTACCAAGCCTAAAAATTAAGCTGAACTATATCAGAGGACTCCAAGTTAGACAATTCTTACCCATCACCCCATAAAAAAAATGACATTTTGAAAAGTATAACATTTATTGAAGGAAATAACTAAAAAGTATTATTTTGGATGGTTAATCCTTTGGGCAAATGTCACCCTGCTTCTATTCCTCTAATCTGGCAATAATCTGTTCATTAAGATTTAGGAAGAAAATGTGTTATCAGCTTTAGAAAAGATTCTAAAATTAATGGACACCATTCATTTCCCCCATCCTCCACCTCTCAGATTCCCAGTCCAGAGTTAAACAGCCTCCTTACCATAAACCCCCACAGAAAAATCACCCCGATCCTCCTGTGTTAAGTCACTAACAACGTCAGGGCACTGGATATACAGTAGGCATGCCCACAGCTGCTACTAGCTTGATCAGTTTAAGAACAAATCCTCCTAGACTACAGGCCCACGGAGGAGGGATAACTAACAGGTAAAGACACTCATGTGTAAACTAGAGTAGGTTCCACTAAGAAGTTAGGGTTGACAACAGCGGGTCAAATACTTGGGGGGAGGGGAATGTTACCAAGTGTGTGGGGTGGGGTGAAGGGGGAGGAAAGCGACAAATGGGGGAAGGGTCGAGGTGAGAAAAAGTGGGAAAAGAGGACAAGAGGGAGCGGAAGAGAGGAAAAGGAAAGAGGGAGGAGGGGAAGGAAGGGGAAAGGGAGAGAAATGGGGGAAAGAAGTCAGGGAGAAAGGTAAAGAAGGGGAAGGAGCTACAGAGAGCAAGAGAAGGGGGAGCCCCGGGATCCCAGACAAAAGGGATGGCAAAAGACCAGGCTGGTGCCAAGCCAGGGGGCGCGTCGGGGTCTCTGGAAGGGGCCGGGAAACCAGAGGGCAGTTGGCTGCAGGGAGTGGGGAGTCCCCGCGGGTCGTGGCTAACAGGTGCTGCCGTCTCCCCGCCAGGGGAGGAAGAACACGGCGCTCGGCTCCGGACACGCAGCAGCGTCGGTGGCCTCAGGCCCTCAATACCTGGAACTGCAGCAGCTTTTCCGTCTGCTCCTGGGTTAAGTCCCGCTCCTCAGGCGCCGCCATTTTGCCGCCGCCTCTACGCCTCTGACCCGTCCGCACCGTCACCCGCCGGAAATGACCTCATCCGTACCCGCTTCCGGTCCCGGGCCGTCACCGCGGGCCGTCTGGTCCCGGGCTCGCGATTCTGCGGTGGCAACCTAAGGCTGCTGGGATGGCTGCAGAAGGCCACCTCTCGGAGGCACGCCCCTTACCTTCCGGAAATTCCCGAAGGCCTTCGGGTAACCCACGTGACTGCTTTACTAAAGCGAGGCTCCACGCACAATCACCAGAATGGATCGCGGGTGATTCCGGAAGCTCCCGAGTCCTTCTGGGCTGATCCCGGATGCCGTCTAAGGACCGGAAGCGTACGAAAGCGGGAGGCGCTCTTTTTTGCTTCGAGGGCTATCCCACGTGTGTGCCCTCGGGCCGGCCTCTGGGAAGGCTATGGGGTGTACCTAGTACTGCAGCCGCACCGGCTCATCTCACTTCCCCAAACCCTTCCTCCCCTGCGGGGTCCCTTAGCCCATATGTGGGAGTAAGAAGATACGGTTTAGGATTGCGGCCTCGACCCTTGGAAGTGTGACCCATACATCTCACTGGGGGAGATCGGCGTGGGGGAAGCCCTCTGTTGTCTTATGTGTAAAACAGGCGTAGTGACCTTTGCGTTCCACACATTTTTTTATATGGTTGTGAAGCAGGGATTTTTGGTAAACTTTAAGCAGCTTGTTCAGCCTCCACAGCTCCTTCCTCTCCTTGGCCGGGCATTTGTCTCTCCTTCCCCAGTCTGGCTTTCTCTAGTTCTGCAACCTCCTGGGCCATCCTATTTTACTCCTTCCCGCCTCTGCCCAGCCCCCACCTTCACCTCTGGGCCTTCACTCTTTTTTGCCTTGAGAATCCCAATTTTGTTCAGTTTCAGCCAGTCACATCTGATTCTTCGACTCCTCATGACCTCATTTGGGGTTTTCTGGGCAAAGAAACTGGAGTGGTTTGTGCTTTCCTTCTCCAGAATCCTGGATTAGCCTGAGTCCATTCTTCCCTTCCTTCTAACGTCAGCTTTCAGCCACCCTTCCTGGCCCCCAACTTCTCCCAACTCATCAAGCATCACAGGAACACAATCTCAGAATTGTAAAAGATATAATAGGTCATCTAATCCAACTTAGACTTTGAATAATTCCCCTATTAAACAAAATTTTTCCAATATTTATTAAGCATGTGCTATGTATAAGAGACCTTACCAGGTACTGAAGATGCCCAAACAGGAATAACTAACGATCCCTTCCTTCAAGGACCTTTTTTTTTTTAGGCAGTTGGGGTTAAGTGACTTGTCCAGGGTCACAGCTAGTGTCATGTGTTTGGTCTGAGTCCAGATTTGAACTCAGGTCCTTCTGACTTCAGGGCTGATGCCCTATCCACTTCACCACTTAGCTGCCCCTCAAGGACCTTACTTTCTACTGTAGTGGGGGAGGAGGGAGATGTAGCTAGCTTGTACAAAAATCAATACATAATGATTTTTTTTTAAGAGAGGGAGAGAACATTCATAAATAGAAGGCTCAGGGAAGGCTTCGTGGAGAAATTGATCTCTGAGCTGCGCCTTGAAATCAGATAACGGATTTCAAAAGTCAGAAATAAAGTGTAGAGATAATAAGAAAAAAAGCTGGAAAGGTTAAGCTGGAGCCAGATTGGAGAGAGCCTTAGGCTGAAATTTTTGTATTTTAACTCAAAGGCGATAAGGAGTTACCAAACATTTTTAAGCAAAGTACTAACATATTAAGGTCTGTGCCTTAAGAAAATTATTTTGGCAGCTGTGTGGAGGATAAATTGGAGAGGGGAGAGATTAGAGGCAGGCAGTCTATTTAGAAGGCTCTTAAAAATAATACAATCAAAAGAAGATGACAGATAATAAAGATGTTTCTGAAGTAGAATTGACAAAACTTGTCAACTGGTTGGCTACTGGAAATAAGAGAGTACATAGATAGATGGATAGATAGAAAAGAAAAAGAAAGAAAGAGAGAGAGAAAGAAAGAAAGAAAAGAAAGAAAGAAAGAAAGAAAGAAAGAAAGAAAGAAAGAAAGAAAGAAAGACAGAAAGAAGAAAGAAGTATTTATTAAGCACTTACTATGTACTGAGCACTCTGCTAGATCAAGAGTCAGGAATCTAGGATGATTCTGATATTACAAATCTAGGTGACTAGGAGAATAGTGATGCACTTAACAAAAACAGAAGTTTGGAGGGGAGATGACTTTAGGGGGAAGATAATTATGTTTTGGGCATGTTGAATTTAAGGTGTCCCATAGGCAGATGGACTAGAGTTCGGAAGAGATATTACAGCTGAATATATTGATTTAGGTGTCATGTGTAGAGATGATAATTGAATTCATATAGACTAGAGTCAGACACAACTGAAAAATGACTAAACAAAAATTATACAAAGGAAGAGAACTGAGAAAGAAAGTCAAAAAGGTCCCAAGATGGAGACTGAGAAGGAACATATGTTTGGAGAGAGGAGATCGATACAGCAAAGGAGATCCATGCTCAGTTCTTAAGGGTAGGAGGATAGTAATTCAGAAGATTTCATCAGACTAGAAGAAGAACTTGGAGAAAGTAAAGTCACAGAAGTTAAGGGACAAAAGAGATGTCTTCTGAAGTACTTTCCAGTTCCAAAGCTGTGACCTATGATCTTATGCATATTTAGAAGGAAAGAGTACTCAGTTATGTGAAGTGCTACAGATTGGATTTAACAGGTAAGAATGATGTCCGTAGAATGGTAGTCAGAAGTCAGATTGTAGAAGTGAGTGAGAATTAGAAAGTAAAAACATTAAGTATAGATGCCTCTAAGAAATTGGCAGTGAAAGGTATGTAGGCTATAGCTTGAAGAGTTGCCTGGGTTAAATGAGGATTTTCTAAGGATTGGGGAAGACAGGAAGAGAGATTTGTGTCTATTGGTAGACTCCAGGGAAGGAGCCAGTGAAAAAGAAAAGTTTGAAGAGAGAAAGCGATTAAATTGAAAGAGATGGAACAGCACAGAATCAAGGGCACAAGTAAAAGGGTTAGTCTTGGTGGAGAGAAAGGCTGTCTCTTCCTTGGAGACTAAAGAGACATGAAGGTAGGTAAAAAGGAAAAGGAGTTAGAAGTATGGAGTACAACAGGTGAGAGAGCTCACAACTTCTAGTGTCATTTTTCTCAATAAAAAAAGGAGGCAAAGACATCTGTCAAGAGGAGTTGAGGGTAGAAGTGAAGTTGGGACTCAAAGAGAGTGCAACAGAGGAAAGGGTTTGAAACAGTTGTTTCTGGGAGCATGAAGGCTTAGTTGAGGTTCAGCAGTTCAGTCGTACCCAACTCTTCATGATTCCTTTTGTGGTTTTCTTGGCAAAGATACTGGAGTGGTTTTGCCATTTCCTTCTCCAGCTCATTTTACAGTTGAGGAAACTGAGGCAAACAAGGTTAAGTGACTTGCATAGGGTCACACAGCTAGTCTCTGAGGTCAGATTTTAACTCAGGGAATAAGTCTCCCTTACTCCAGGCCTGGCACTCTATCCACTGTGCCACCTAGCTGCCCTTTAGTTGAGATTAGATAACATGAATATGTAGTACACTCAGTTGGCATGATAGTGTGACTTCTTTAAGCTGCATTCATCTGCACAGGAGTAGGAACAGAAAATGGGTGAAGGTGGGAGTGACCAGTTTGAAGACTGGCATGATGAGAATAACAGAAGGGCAAGGAACTAAGGTATTTAAAGGTAGAAGACAATGTTTATGTCAACTGGCAAACTGTGAGGTCAAGACTGTGCAAGGAGGAAAATGGGGCCAGAAAGGGATGAAGAGACTAGAGGTTGCAATTAGGATGAAGAATAGGTTTAGGAGTAATGGGGGAGAGGGAGAGAGAGAAGGAAGGACAGAAGATATAAAAATGAGGGCAAATGTAAGAGTCATGGAGGTGATAATTTGCAGTGATGCTGAGAACTAAGGACCTTTCTTATGGGTAACTGAGATGGAGTGAAGGTGTAGGACATAAAAGTTGAGTAGGTTGATTAGCTGAAAAGCCAGGTTACTCAAAAGAGGGATACCAGTTCATATACTGAAGTCTTCAAGTATGAGGGCGGGAATTGGGTTAAAGAGGAAAACTGAGCCAGGTAATGAATTTGAGAAAGAAGGATGGTAATCTACAGGCTAGTAGATTTTAAAAAAACAAGGATCTGAACAGGGTGATACAGAAACACAAAAGAAGTTTCTAAATGACAATGATAGAGAAAGGTGCTAAAAGTAGGACATGAGGAATATACCAACTCCTGATGCACCGTATAGAGGACACTGAGAGATGGAATAACTAGCACTGGAAAGGGTAGACAGGGATAAGTGTCTCCTAGAGAAAACCAGGTTTCTGTGAATGAAAGAAGACAGTGGGGGAAAAAAAATTCCATGATAAAGGGGAATTCGTTAATAATAACATAGGAATTCCAAAGGGCAATAAAAGCATAGGAGCAGGCAAGGAATAGGGCTGATTTAGATGGGGATTAGAGTATAGGAAGAGAGAGTAGGGGAAAGGAGTTTTCCATTAGCAGGCATTGACTACAGAGCCCCACGTTCAGTAGTTACTTAATAAATACATATTGATTAACAAAGTAAAATGGACATAGAATATTAAATTTCTAAGAGAACTGAAAGAACATTTAGGAGGTTTAAGAACATTTAGTCCAACCTCCTTGTCCTTCTTCTTCCTATCCAAGGAGATCCTATATAGATTCCTCTTCCTATAGATAAATTCCCTCTGCAAAATCCTCATCTAAGTTCTCCTTAAAGGCCTCCAATAAGAGGGAACTCACTATTTATTAAAGAAGCCTGTTCCACTTTGGGGTAGCTCTAATTGTTAGGAATATTTTTCACAAACTGAGCTAAAATTTACCTCTCTGAAATTTCCATCCTTTGCTTTTAGTCCTTTCCTCTAGGGCTAAAAAGAATAAATCTAATCTCTATTCCATGTGGGAGTCTTTCAGATACTTGAAGATAGCTATCACATGCTTTGTAAGTCTTCTGTTCTCTAGGGCAGTCTTGTCAAACTCCAATAGAAATGACTACCAATCCCAACATAAGAATTCCTGCCCTGATATTATTGACTTAGTTTTTAAATATAACATCATAATTTTCTTATTGCATTTTTATTTATTTTGTTAAGTATTTTGCAATTAAATTTAAATCTGGTTCAGCTTACACTCAAGAGTGTTGGGAGCTGTGTATATGACATTTTTGTTCCAGGTCAGTCAGCTTTAGTTCCTTCAACTAACTGTTATTTGTATTGAAT